GCGGGGTGTGCTCCATTGAAGGGGGCTTTCTCTCTTCAGTAGCTATGTTTTTGCATATGCGTTTTAGATATTCGTCTGCCGTGTTTTAAATAGTTGCAAAGATTTAAGAAGCAGCGTAGTGGCGTGCCCAGAGTGGCCAGGGCTCGTTTTCTGGCGTCACCCCAGTGCATCAGCGACGAGAGCGGGAGATGTGGTCTGGGGGTCGTCAAAGAGAGGGCAGATGTTGGTACACTGGCTATATAATTACATCTGAGCCTTAATCAGTAAAAGATTAATTGAAGTCATCTAATCCGTATAAAATCTGTAGAAGTGGAGCTCTCCAGTAGACTGGAGGGCTTCGCTTGGGACACTTGCATGGAACAAGGATGAGAGCTGTCCCATGTAGGTCACGTCTCGTGGCCCAGGCACCTGTGTCACCTCTCTGCTGCGGTCTGCTCCTGGCGCGTGGCCAGAAGGCCCACAGAAGGGTCCCCATCCCCTCGGGTGCTGATTGAGCCGTCACCCCGAAGCAGGACGCTGGTCGGTGCTTGGTGTGTGGCAGGTGAGGTGGTGGGGGGCTCTCGGGGGCGAGGGGCTGCCAGTCTCCGGCAGGGCTGGGGGAGCCCCTGACGGGCAGCAGCTCCAAGGCCATTGCAAGGGTTCAGAAATGTTTAAAAAAACCCCCGACTTTTCCAAAGAGTCAGAAGCGGCTCCAGCCAAACCAGTCCGGTGCCAGGAAACAGCTCGGATGGTGGAGTCTCCTGCCGGCATCGCCGCTCTGCCAGCAGTAATCCCCTGCGAGAGCACGGGAACAAAACTGCCGCTCGCACAGCTACTCCTCAAGCACAGTTTAATTAATATTAACCCCGTATCGCTGCAAAATTCACACTATATTTTTCATAGCTTATGCGCTAAGCATACCGCTATGCCAAGGATCATACACCACAACACGGAGCGCAGAAGTGTGACGCTTGGCCCGCGCCGCCAGGTTTGCTCAGAGGTAAACAAAACCCTGGCACCTCTGCAGATGACAGTCTGCTTTGTTTTCTGCTCCTTCGAAAGCGCTGGTTCTCCTTGGGAGCGGGCTGGCGAGCCTGCGGAGGTGTGGGGACCCACGCCATAGCTCATGGTACGTGCGTAGAGCCAAGCTTCAGAGCCCTAGCCTTAATTTCGGTGCCAAACCCGCTGTTTCTGTGCCCAGGAGCTGGATGCGTTGCTTGCTTAGTAAAGCGGGTTAACGCCTCGCTGGACTTCGACATGCCAACGGCTCGGTCAGTTCAAAACAAACAAAATTCCAGTTTGGACTGAGCTGGCCCAAAATTAAATGCCTTGTTTTGTTTTTCCTCCTGGAGTTTTGGGCACATTTTCACCACGGGAAGTTTTATAGTTGGCTGGAGCTGCGTGTTGGTGATGTGAAAGAGCTCCAGAGGAAGTGTGGATAAACATCTTGATGTCAAGGTGTCTAGCGAGGGAAAGTTTGCATTTAGGCTGCCTTCAAATTAGGGGGTTTGGTGGATGCTTCATCTCTGTCCAGGAATTTTCACGTTTCCATCTCGTAATCTGTGGACCAATACAGCCAGGTTTATAGGAGCTTTTGGAAATGAATCCAATCCAAAAATGGAAGTCGGAGGGCGGTTGAAGGCAGGTCTCTGCTGCATTTGGCTCGCGTTTCCAGTGTTGAGGCTCACAGTTCTCAGAGGAAGGATTTGAAAAGCAGGAGGAAAAAAAAAAAAACCCAGCAGAGGAATTGCTGCAGGTGATTCAGAGGGGGACGCTGCCGTTGCATCGCTTCTGTCGCTCCCCTCTCACAGTGGCACGCTGCATCCTCGCCCGTGGGCACAGCTCCCCCATTGCTTCTCATCATCAGTAAAGATGCTACAACATTTTTTCAAGGGTGGGAAGGCATGAAGTCATCCTTCGTGCTGTCTGTAGTTGCATTTTGATTCCTCAGAGGTCCCCGTTTTCCAGCAGTTGGCAAAGGGAAGTGTTATGTGGGCATTCGTGGGGTGCTTTAGGATGAAAATATGGTATCCGTATGTACCTCTTGCTGTAGTTATTTAAAAGATGCTTTTTAAATCACTTTAGTTCTAAAAAGCAGATGTTGAAATGAAGGCTACGGGAATTTGAAATGGTGACCAGAGAAATTCAGCCAGCGCCTTCTTCCTTCACAACTGGTGAACCCTTGGAGCTGTTTTAAGCAGACCCAGGGTGAAGGCGTTGGAGGTGATGAGCTTTGGAAACAGGAAGAAGAAAACAACCAGAGAAATGTTTGCACTGAAGAAAAACCTAGAGCCTGAGACATCCAATGGGCAAAGATAGCTTTAACATGTCCCAGTTCTGGACAAGCTTTGGTCAGTATTTGTGTGGTACAGAAGACGCATGGGAAACCAGGTTTCATGAGCTCCTGTGCTTAAAGAAGTGGTTGGTGTTGATCATAGCTCCAATTGTTCATCTCTTGGTGTTCCTTGGGTACCTGTTGCTGAGTGGGTGTTACTCTGAGGTGATGTGTAGATGGACAGCTTGCTCCTAGGAGCAGCCCATGTGCATGAAGCGTGTCTCAGACCCCGCTCCCACAGGAGCCTGTTTGCTCCTGTGCATTCGAAGCCACGGGGAGAAAATTCCTGCTAGCGTTGTTCTGCGAAATGCTTTTTATTTAAGCCTCCTAAGTTTTCTAACCACTTTGCCCCTTCGTTCTCAAGTCAGTAGCTTTTATTGTGAAAGCCCTGGTGTATTGATAACTATTGGGGAAATTCCCTGAGGCTGCTGAGCCGGAATCTGCCTTGATGACAGAGATGCTTCCAATTTTTAAGCAAAACAGCCTGTAAACTGTGCCATCAACTAACAAGTACGGGATCCCTGCTGTGTAATGTGTGGGATCCTGGAGTATTTTTATTTCCAGGGTGATACCCTCATGGTAGCATGTGGAGCTACAGCTGGGCCGCCAAGGAGCATCCTGCTTTGGGAAGATGAACGGAGAATATGTTCCTCAGGATTGCCATGCCTAATTAGCCTCAAGTTCTGGTATTAGGAGATGTTAATGAGCTGGAGCATATAAACTAACCGCAGGAAAAAAACCCTTTTAATGGTTACGCCAGCGGTAGGAAGAGTAGTGCTGTGGCAGGGGGAGCTGGCTGACAGCTCGGGACCGGTGGCATGGGGCAGGGAGTGGCAGTGGCCAGCCTGGCCACAGGGACCTGGCATCATGCATGGGTTTGGCCCGTCTTGGCTCAGTGGTGCATCAGAGACGAGTCTCTCTAAGCTGGGTGGTCGCGAGGAGGGGCCGTCGTTTTCTATAAAATGGTCTAATTAGCACAAGGACAGTCTCTTCTTTATTTTTTTGTTTTGGGTGTGAGGCCCTGGTGATGACCCAGTGTTGCCAGCTAACAGCGTACGGCTTCGGGTAGCACTGCCTGCGTGTCTTTGTGTGTCGTACTCCATTTACCTTTGTTTCCCGCCCCCCTTTTTTTTCCCGTAGTGAAGATAAAGGTTTAAAAACAGAAGTAGGAGATTAATTCATTTGCAATTTTGTATCAAAATTCAGAGAGGTCAGAGAAGTTCATTCTTTCTGCTTCATTTTGGCTCATCTGGCGTCTTTCTTTAGAGGCAGGTGAGGAGGTTGTGCTTCCATTCTCTCTCCTTTCCACACATCTCCATCATGCACTGTTTTACCATACCAGCTATTGTATTTATTATTTCAAAACAGTGCCCTGTTTATGGGCAAGCTAAGCTGCTGCAACGTGAGATCTTTATTCTTCATACCGGAAAAAAATGTACATTTTTTGTTTGGGTTTTTTTTTCCTTCTCATTGCTTTGAAACTCTGTAAAACAGACATGGGGGGGAGAAAAAAAAAACAACCATAAACCAGCTTGCCAGGCTCTTAAGTGAATTGATTGCATTGAAGAGAGGAGTTGGAGAGGAGCCAGCACAGAACCCCTGATCAGGCAAGAAGGGAAGGGATAACGCGGCCACGGCAAGGACGTGAGGCTGGAGAAAAGCTCTGAGAGGAAGAAATAACTGTGGTGTGGAGGCAAACAAGAAACATTTGATAAAATGATGTTGGTTAGCTACCAGCGTGGGGCGGGTCACGAAGAAAAGAGGCGTGCGTCAGGCGGGGAATCGGTGGAGAGCAGTGTTGCTGTTGCCTCCGCAGAGCTGGGACACCCTGCCTGGGATGCTATCTGTGCTGCTAGCCACCCTATCGACAAATTTAAAGCTGGAGTTTAAAATAAAGACAATATTCAACTGAAGAGTGAAGTTTCTCGAACCTCACGGCCCAAAGCAGTCGGTCGGTGAGTGGAGTCACAGCCTTGGAGCCCTGGGTTCCTGTGGGGCATTTGCCTTGGGGAAGTGGGACCTTGGTAGTATTTTAGCCATAAACTCGATGTCTTTATGCTGGAGCTCTGGATTATCCTTTTGGACCTG